GGCGGGGGTGACGCGCTGGCCTCCCACGTGGCTGACCGTGGCTTCCGGCTCACGGCCCCGACCAGGCGGTTTGCTATCACTGCCCGTGCCCTCTCTGGTAAGTATGCCCGTAACAGGTGAAAGCCCAGTAACGCGGTGAGTTTAAGTAACTCCTTCCCCCTGCAGAGACCGACCGAGAACCCCTCAGCCAGGATAAGAGACAGAGTCCTGCCGTGCACAGCACCTTGACCCGGCCGCGCCTGCAGCAGGCCTCGGGGCTTTCCAGTGCCGGAAGCACTGAAGTCCCCTCCGCCAGGCCCTGACCTTGACAGCGGTGGACGACAAACAGCCTTCCACGGGGCAGCTGGACCGACCTAACTACGCACAAGCTGCGGGGAAGAATCGTACTTTTTCAATCCTCTTTAGTTAGCCAGCTCACACATTTGCCTGCCTGAGGGCTCAAGGGAGAGAGTGGGACCCCAGGGTGGCCTCACCGCGGGCGCTCCCCCTCCCTCCCCGGGGATTCTGCACACGGGCCTGCCGTGAACCGCAGTCAGCTGGTGGGACCCAGCGCCTCAACCTCCACGCCACGGGCCAGCCTCCCACGGCCCTCCCCCACGGCGCGGCTGCTCCAGTACAGTCCAGAGCGGACGCCACTGGGACCTGGAGCTTGTCCCTTGTCCCCTCACAGGGACCACGGAGGCTCCCCCCGTTCTCCCACAGCCCTGGGGACGGTGTGGGGCAGGCCGGAGCTGGCAGCTGGCCGGGGCAGAGACTGTCCGAGGGAGAACTGGCCTCAGCTGCGGAGGCCTGGGGCACGCACGGCCGAGGGGAAACCGCAGGTCGGGGCAGGCCAGGCCTTGCCTTCCTGCCCGGGCCCGACCCAGTCACCCCAGAGGAGCAGCTCGCCTGCCACCAGACCTCTCCTGGCCCCAAGCTGGACGCCCGGGGCCCTGGCCAGCGGGGGGCGGGCGTCATCAGCCAGGACAGGCGTCACCAGGACACGGTGTCCGGTGGGGCCTGGCCGGCCCTGCCAGCTCTCGCTCCCCCGTGGGGAGGCTCTGGGAGACACCGTCCCACAAGGAGAACGGGCCCGAGGGGCGCCCGGCCAGGACCCAGCCTGAGCCCCAATGGCAGCAATGGCCTCGGGCCGACAGGCAGGCCGGCCGGCTGCACGGGTACTGCCCGGGAGGCAGGGGCTGCGGTGGAGAGCTCCCGAGGAGAGCCCCGGCCCGGCCCACGCACACACTCACCTCCAAGCCCAGGGCCCAGGAAGGCGGCCGAGGGGAGACTGCCGTGCGGCTCACCGAAGGGGGTGTCCTCGCTGTAGGTCTAGGAGAGAGGGCGAAGTCAGCCCGGACGGTGGCGTCCACGTCCACCCCCTCCTCGGCCTCCCGGCCCACGGGAGCCCGGCCCAGCCCGCAGGGGCTCCTACCCGGCTGGGGTCCAGGGAGGAGCTGCTCTGGTCGCCACTGCCCCAGGAGCCCGAGCTAGGCCGGTCCTCGAGACCTGCAGGACGGGAAGGAGAGCTGAGGTCGCCCCGTCCCGCTCCCTTCCCCTCTGCTGCCCCCAGCCCGTCCCACCCGGCCTGCACAGAGCAGCCAGCACCGGCCGGTCCCCGAGACTCGGCCCCTCGGCTGCAGCCCAGCCTGCTCTTTCACCAGCCACCTCTGCTAGCCAACTCCTACTCATCCGTCAAAACCCCACACAGGAAGGGTCTGGGCAGAACCTCACAAGGCCTCTCCTGGAGAGGTGGGTCAAGGTCTCACCACCAGGGCACCCCGCCAACCCTGCCAAGCTGCTCCCACAGGTGGCAGTGGACGCTGACCTGCAGAGTGGGAGCCCACCCCTCCTGTGGCCGCGAGTCCCGGACACAGGGCGGGTGCACAGGGGCCGGGGGCATGGATGAGGTTCCTGAGTGGGGCGAAAGCACCCACAGGGCTGAGGCTGGCCAGGGCTCCTGCTGCCACGGGAAGGCAGGGGTTAACCGGCCAGTCGAGGACCTTGGTCCCCAGCGGGTGTGGCAGGGTGGGGCCCTTATCTCCCCACTCAGGCCCTGCCAGCCACCAGCCCCGGCTCTGGAATCTTCTGCCCTGGGCAGGCCGGCCTGTACCCCTCCCCAGGCTGCGAGGCTCTGACCCCTTCGCACCGTGTATGGAACCAGGGCTGCACCCTGGGCCTCGGTTTCCCCGTCAGTGGGGTGACGGGCCCTGCTCCCCTTGAGTCTGGGGGGCCCAAGGTCGGCACCAGCACTGCCCGGCAGCCGGCAGCCCTCCGCGGCCAGGACCTGGGGCGCCCTGCCTGCTCGGGGGCACGGAAACTCCTCCCAGACCGCACCGTGCAGTCTCAGCACCTTCCACCTTCCCGCCAGCCATCCCCAGAACCGCCCCGGAAACGGTGCCTGATCAGCGTCTGACTGGCATAATTACGCATTATTAACCCCAGTCTAATGAATATTCATGTCTGCGGCAGATGGTGTTCCCTGCCCGAGAATTTCCGTGGGGGCTCCCAGTCTCCAGGAACCCACTGGACACTGTCGCCAGGTGTGGGGTACTGGCACCTCAGACCCTGGGCCAGCCCGCACATCCCTCCCACGGCACTCCCAGCTCAGGCACCCCGGCCGCTCCCTCCAGGGTCCAGCACAGCGGTCCTGCCGTGCCCTTTTGGCTCTGGGCCCCTGGCCCCAGGAAGTGACAAAGCAGGCACCACACACCCCCCACACCCCCGCCGGCTAATCACACGCTAATAACCTGACCGTGAGTAGGCTGGGCGTCAGCGAGACCCCGTCCTCCACAGTCCCCACGGCCCCTCTCGGCAGGAGGGCAGGTGGTCCTGGGAGGCGGCCCAGTGGCCTCGACCTCAGGGTGCCCAGGCTGCGGGAGGACCAGGATTGTGGGCCCCGTCCTCTGTGGGACCGTCGGCTGCCCTGACCTGACGTCCCTTTGCAGGAGAAGGAAGCCAGACAGGGCCAGGGTCAGCTGTCCGCCCACTCGGGTCGCGAGGCCTCACCACACGCTGTGCCCGCCCGGCCCCCCGCAGCCACCCCCCCAGGACACGCCCTACTAGGGGCTCTGGCCAAAACCCTGGGCATGGTCTCCCGGCCTCCTCACAGATCAGTGTCCAGGGCAGCTGCGCCCCGGGATCCAGCAAGGTCCCCTCATCCTGACAGCGCCCCAGGGTGACGGGGCTTTCAGGACCAAGACCTGGCCGTCCCTCTCCCTCCCGGGGCCCCCAGCAAACTCCCCTGACCTCATGGGCTCTGTGGCCCGAGACCCAGCCCGCATGTCCTGGAGGACTCCTGTCCGTCCCCGCCAGCCGGGCCCCGCGTCCCCCACGCTGAACCCTGATGGGCCGCCCC